CGCGTGTCGGGCGGTGTGTTTTGTTGGATGTGCGTCGTCGTGATCTGCTGCTGCTGCAACAGTTGCGTCTGCCGCAGTCGCTGCATCTCGTTGTGCTGCGCCGTCGCCATGGTCTGCTTCTGCTGCTGGAACTGCTGCTGGAGCGCAATGAGCACCGTCGGCTGCTGCTGGAGCGCGCCGGCGGCGAGGCCCGCGGCCGTGGTCGCTGCGTTCGCTGCCGGGGTCGCGGCCAGGTTGTTTTGGGCCGCGGTCGACGCTGCCGCCGCCGCCGCCGCCTGTTGCGCGGCTTGCAGGTTCATGAGGTTGATGCGGTTTTGCTGGGCTTGGGCGGCTTGTTGCGCGGCTTGTTGGGCGGCCGCCTGTTGCTGCGCCTGCTTTTGCGCCGCGGCTTGCTGCGCTTGCTGTTGCGCGGCCTGTTGGGCGGCCTGCTGTTGCGCGGCTTGCTGGGCTTGCTGTGCTTGCTCTTGCTGCTGCTGTTTCAAGAGCGCTTGCTGCTGCAAGAGCAGTTGCTGCGTGTACTGGATCGCGGCCGCGGTCGTCGTCACGTTCGGGTTGGCCATGCCAGCGGCCTGGGGCATGGTCTGCGCGCCAAAACCCGCGGGCATCTGGCTCGCGGCGACGACCGGGGCCGCCGGGGCAGGCGCGGCCGCCGGCGCATCCGCCGTCTGCGACTTCTTCTTGAGGCTTGCAATCTTCTTCTGGAGCTTGGTCAGGTACGTTGTCTAGGCGCGTTGCATGATGAGGGTGCATGCCAAGAAGCGGCGCGCCATACCTTGTCTTCCGACTGCGTCCAGAGCATGAGCTCAAACTTGGCCGCGGAGCGCCAGACCTTCTGCTTGTCGTTCTCGCCCGAGATGCGCAGGAGCTCGTGGTACCTAGAGACGCATGAGCCTCATGGCTGCCATGCCGGGCGCCTACATCTCCGTGATCATCGTCTTGCGCATCTCTTCCGAGATCTCGAGGCGCCAGGCAGCGGTCGCCGGCGTCGCCATCCTGCCGCTTGCGCTCGGCACAGAAAAAGAGAGAGTGCGGACCACACTGAATTACAGGGGTTTCGTCCGGTTGACATCCGGTACATGCGGCACATGCCATATTTAAGTTGATCGCGTTAAAGCTAGTTTAACGCAGCAGGCCGCAGCCCCACACCGCGTCACCTGCCTGGCTGTCGCGTGCTGGCAGTCGACACACGGCCTCACAGGCCTTCGTCTTCGACTGCGTGCGCAAGACCGCAGCAGCGCACGAAGGGCGGGACCTGCCAACGCTCCTGCCGGGCCACTTGAAACAAAGTTGATAATGCGTTTAAACAACAGAATGATGGTGCTTTTGTGGCGTTCAATCAAGCGGAGCGCGTTTTTTACGCGCCAAACGCCCTCAGTCGAGATGTCTAAAGTCGAGGTTATAAATCAACATTCACCGTGCCATGTAGAAGGTCCCGCGCAGACGAGTTGACGGGCACGGCGTTGAGCCCACAGTGCTAGCATCGACCAGGTTGTACATACCAACTGGAGAGGAAGCCAAAGAGTCATCGGCCCCATCGGCATTCTTGGCTATGCCAATAGAGCGTCCTCCAATGCAGTTCATGTCGTATGCATGCAGCCTCCACATGATCGTGCAGATCAGCATTATGCTTGTAGCATCATCCACCGTGTCGGCCAGAGAAGGAACCCTTGTGGCAACATACTACGCTTGATCTTTGACGAAGTCGCCAATCCAAGGCAACGAAAAGCTCTACGCTCTACTACAGTACCGTGGCGTTGCGCCTGTGATGGATGTCTCACAATGAGCTGAGGACGGCTCCAGAGATCATCTATGTCTGTGGCGACGACGCAACATTGGCTGCGAGGTTTTCCCACGCGCGTTTATCATCTTTGTGGTCATCTATCCTTCCTACATCTGAAGTTGGAATACAAGGAAGAAAGGTCTCAATAGAAATAGATTGAACTATGGAACTTATAGCCAAGCATCAAAGCGCTTCATAACGAAGAGCATGAGAATAGACCAGACAAACCACACTATGCTCCCAGCGAGCCACAGGCCGAAGCTGAGCGACGTCCAATCGCCGGCATCGAAATACATCAAGGCACCGGTGATTGCGAGCACGACGGGAACCATCCCGGTACCCAGAAGCAGCCAGCCCATGTTCAAATTGAACGACCAGACGCGGCAGAGGACAAGGACGGCGGCCGCGTCAACGCCAGCCTCGATCGTCACCGTGTTGTTGGCACCAACAGTGGCGACGACACGGGCCTCTTGGGTCGGCGTCGAGAGCGTGATCACAGGACGCAGAGAGAATCCAGAGGCCGACAGCTCGAGCTCCGACCCGCGGTCGTCAAATACCCAAGTGTACGCAGAGCGCATGGAGCACACGCTGGAGGAGGTCGTGATGGTACCGGGAACCTGCAAGTACGGGCTCGCCACGGCGTACGTGTCGTCATTGCTGCAGAGAGAGGCCTTGCGCGAGAGGGTGGCCACAACAGCACCGCTGGCGTCGCAGAGCTGCTTCTTGGCGTACACGAGCGACTGGTTGGGCGCATTGGGCGCGTAGCTCCACGTCGCCTTGGTCGTCGTGAGGAAGCGGGCGTCGAGGATCGAGACCGGGGCCGACGGCGCGGTCGCAATGTGGAGTTTGTAGTCCATGGCAAAAGTGAAAATGAAATGGAATCCAATACGCACGTTATCAGGTTGTGGACATGGTGTCCGTTGGACTCGCACGAACTTGATCAATGAAGATGCGCCTACGGAGCTTGCAGTTGGAGCGTGCATGTCTCCCAGACTGTCTCTCAGAATGGCCTCCGAGCTCCAGGAACCATGTTCAGAGCCTGTTCTGTGTGATTAGAAGTGTCCCCATCGTAACGCTGGAGTGGAGCTTTGCCCAACCACAATCTCGCATGTGGACTTTGCCTCCGCTAGCCGACGACACCGGATCGTCTGCAGTGCGCCACATCGTCTTGGGCCCGTGTTTCTATCGCTGCTGCGTGCCGTTGTGAGAATGTCCATCGTCGCGTGTGTAGCATCGTGCCCAGTCCTTTTTAGTGTCGAGAGGATGCGGCTCAGTCTTTTCTGTACCCTCAAAGAAGAAAAGAGGTCTCACACTCATTGTAGCAATAATATTCAATAGGTCAAGGCAGCTTAGAGCCAAGCATCAAAGCGCTTCATAAGGAAGAGCAGGAGAAAAGTCCAGGCAAACCACGCAATGCCCGCTGCGAGCCACAGACCAGCGTTGAAGGAGAACGTCCAGGAAGCGACAAGCGTGAGCACAACGGGTACCATCTCGGTACCTACAAGCAGCCAGCCCAGGTTCAAATTGAACGACCAGACGCGGCACAGGACAAGGACGGCGGCCGCGTCAACGCCAGCCTCGATCGTCACCGTGTTGTTGGCACCGACAGTGGCGACGACGCGGGTCACTTGGGTCGGCGTCGAGAGCGTGATCACAGGACGCAGCGAGAAGCCAGAGGCCGACAGCTCGAGCTCCGACCCGCGGTCGTCAAATACCCAAGTGTACGCAGAGCGCATGGAGCACACGCTGGAGGAGGTCGTGATGGTACCGGGAACCTGCAAGTACGGGCTCGCCACGGCGTACGTGTCGTCATTGCTGCAGAGAGAGGCCTTGCGCGAGAGGGTGGCCACAGCAGCACCGCTGGCGTCGCAGAGCTGCTTCTTGGCGTACACGAGCGACTGGTTGGGCGCTTTGGACGCGTAGCTCCACGTCGCCTTGGTCGTCGTGAGGAAGCGGGCGTCGAGGATCGAGACCGGGGCCGACGGCACGGTCGCTATGTGTAAACTGTAGTGCATTACCAAAATCAAAATGAAAAGTTCATTTTGACTTGAGAAATAATTTTTATTGTGGCCAGCCACTCTTAATCATTACACGGGCCGAGGCCAAAAGACGCAGCTTGCTGAAAGAAACGGACCTCTCCATTAAGGTCCGACCCTAAGGACGAGCTGTGTTCAGCTCCTGCGCCAGAAGCACAAGAGACTGCGAAGAAGCAGCCCGCCGAAGCCCGCCGCTCGAAGAACAGCGCCAAAAAACGCAAGGGCGAGTCTTCATCCCAACAATCCATACATCGTGACAATGAATGAAATATAAGTTCTTACTGTGAAGACAGGAATCTTTCCATGGGTATCCCTAACCCCACGTCTCTTCGACGACAAATTTGCGCAGGAAGCACGACATTTCTGTCGATAAGAACTAAAACGTTACCGGCCGATTCCCCTTTAAATTCTAGAATAGACTCCATCTGCGCTCAAAACCCGCCTCCAATATCGATCCGATGCCTTTGGATTTTCAAATGGAATACTAGTACACGTTATCAGGATGTGCACTGTACAGTATCGCTGCTGGTTGTGGGAATGTCCATCTATGCATGTGTCAAAGCGACTTGTACTCGAGCTACGAGGTATTGACGAGAGCTAATAGTGACGAGTTGGTCAAGCCCGTCAGCTCCTTGAGGTGCATCCAGTGCAGTCATTTTCAGTGCAATGTACACATCTGTGTTCACGGCACGCCTGGAAGAGAAGAGCGATCAACGAGTAGTAGGCATTAGAAATAGATAGAGCTATGGAACTTAGAGCCAATCGTCAAAGCGCTTCATAACGAAGAGCGTGAAGAAAGCCCAGACAAACCACGCAATGCTCGCAGCGGCCCACAGTGCGGCTCTGGTCGAGGCGCCGTTGTTGAAATTGTACATCGAGGAGTTTTCGTGGAGCGTCATGCAAAAAGCGATCGTCGAGAGCGTGAAGGGAACCATCTCGGTACCCAGAAGCAGCCAGCCCATGTTCAAATTGAACGACCAGACGCGGCAGAGGACAATGACGGCGGCCGCGTCAACACCAGCCTCGATCGTCACCGTGTTGTTGGCACCGACAGTGGCGACGACACGGGCCTCTTGGGTCGGCGTCGAGAGCGTGATCACAGGACGCAGTGAGAACCCAGAGGCCGACAGCTCGAGCTCCGACCCGCGGTTGTCAATGACCCAAGTGTACGCCGTGCGACCGGGGCAGTAATTGACCGAGGTCGTGATGGTACCGGGGACCTGCAAGTACGGGCTCGCCACGGCGTACGTGTCGTAGGCGCAGTAAAAGGCCTTGCGCGAGAGGGTGGCCACAACAGCACCGCTGGCGTCGCAGAGCTGCTTCTTGGCGTACACGAGCGACTGGTTGGGCGCATTGGGCGCGTAGCTCCACGTCGCCTTGGTCGTCGTGACGAAGCGGGCGTCGAGGATCGAGACCGGGGCCGACGGCACGGTCGCAATGTGGAGTTTGTAGTCCATGGCAAAAGTAAAAATGAAATGGAATCCAATAAGGGCACGCACGTTATCAGGTTGTGGACATGGTGTCATGGTGTCCGTTGGACTCGCACGAACTTGATCAATGAAGATGCGCCTACGGAGCTTGCAGTTGAAGCGTGCATGTCTCCCAGACTGTCTCTCAGAATGGCCTCCGAGCTCCAGGAACCATGTTCAGAGCCTGTTCTGTGTGATTAGAAGTGTCCTAGTCCATCGTAATGGAGTGGAGCTTTGCCCAACCACAATCTCGCATGTGGACTTTGGCTCCGCTAGCCGACGACACCGGATCGTTTGCAGTGAGCTGCATCGTCTTGGGCCCGTGTTTCTATCGCTGCTGCGTGCCGTTGTGAGAATGTCCATCTGTGCATTTGCCGCGTCGACTTGGTCAGCTCTACCAGGGTCTGTTGGCTCCTCGTGGTGTGCGTGGCATCAAGCGCTGGCGCCAGCATCGTGCCCAGTCATTGTAAGTGCCAAGAGCACAAGCAATGGACACTTCTGTCAATTCCAGATGCAAGGGCAATAGCTCGGCGATGGCGCAGAGTTGGCGCGTTGGTCCATGCTGTTGTCGCCAAAATTATTTGTATTTAAATGAATTAAAATATTTTGCCTCTTTTCCAGCGGACGGTCGGTCGAGCAGCATGGGGTACATCTGGAAGCTCATCATGTCCAGCCTCCTCTCGGTGAACGCGCTCGCGATCCTCCATGAGAAGCGCTTCCTCCGGCGCTGTACGTACATGCATATTCGCCTTCGCTCATGCGGCGTGTAGATGGCTACGACCAGCTCGAAGCCTCGAGCGGCGGCAGCCCGTCCATGAAGAACCAGGTCGTCGGCTTCCTCGTCGCCGTGCAGTACCTCCGCAGTACGTCGCCATCGCACTCTACGGACTGGCGCTCATTATGTTGTGCGTAGTGCCCCTTGTCGTCATCAACATCGTCGCCATCTTCCTCGAACTGCTCATGGGCTAGGCCCGATGCTTAGACTCTCGATGATGATGATCAATGTAACCCTCCTGCATGTATTCGCTCGTTCACGACAAGGTATGCAACGCGGCTAGTAAAGGTGCAGCCAAGGCCCGTCCAGCCGATGCGAAGCGCCTGCTGCGGTCGACGAGCGAACCTTGGAGCACCATGCTCCCTTCGTCTCCGCGCCTGGCTTGCCGCCATGGTATCGCACGTCGTGGGTGTAGCAACGAGCGCCAGGATTGGGCTGGAGGCTCGTTCGTGTTGCCCGACGGCTGCGTTGCTTCCTATGGACAGGCTCTCGTCCATGGCAATCGCCTGCGAGCAGAGAGAGAGCGCAGATGGGATAGCGTGTACTGCAGATTAAGATGGATTCGAGGTGTCGTAGGACGGGATGTTTTCAAAGGCGTAGCCTCGCCAGCCTCGGTACGCGCCGTAGAGCTGCACGGTCGCGTACGCACCGGGCGTCGCCGCTACAGACACGAGGATGAGACGCACAGACCATGCAGAACAGCCTACTCATAAAGCCGAGGAAGAGGTGGCCGAGGCCCTTGCCTTCGGCGGCAAGCACGAGGCCCCAGAGAAGCAGTCCCTGCATCATTGTCATCATCCCGAACCAGTCATGCACGAAGCAGCACATACGACGCCGGCCGTGAGCAGCGTGACGGCGACGATCGTTGTCTTGACGGGCACGCGCGGGTCGAGCTTGACGTCGGGCACCCACCAGAAGCGACTGGCGGCGCGGCTCTCGTAGCCCGTGTTGGCCGTCGACGGCGTCGCGTCATCACGCGCTTCCTGGCCCTTCTCGAGGTCGACCTCTTCCTACGCCAGCGTCGCATGAGCGCGGCTTGTACCCTCGGCGCACCATCGACGTCGACTGCTGCGGCTTGCTGCTGCTGCTCATTGTCACTGGTGTGAAATGACTTCTATTTAAAGCTTGCCGGAAGACGCGATATTTCTCCAGAGCGAGAACGACGCAGTAACTCTCATGCGCTCCTGACCGGACCGATTGCAGACGAGCTGCCATGCCCTGCTTCATGCTCATCATGGAGCACCTCTTCGGTGTTCCGGCCGCCTCGATGGGACCGTCGAGGAGTCGACGGGTCAAACTCCTCGCGTCCGCTTGTACCTCGAGGCGACAAGAGGCCCATGCCCACGCGACATGGACCGCAGCACGCTTGTCACCTTGGCTAGCATGGGCTCGTCCTGCGCCGCCAAGGACCACCAACGATGCGCGTACCCGACGAGGAATTGCCGACGAGGCGGCCTGCCACGTCACGAAAAACCGGTTCGGTCCGGTTCGAACCGCTTGCCAAGGGCCGCTCCCATGTTCGACATTCTCGAAGCACGATGGTGAAGGACGCCAAGAGCCGCGACCGCTTCCAAGGCGTCGCCAACGCCGACGACTGCCGCCCGCTCTCGCCCGTACGCATGCGTTCGTGGCCATGGCTCATGCTAGGCGCGTAGACGTCCAAAGGCGTGTCCCGCTGGCACCTCTCGCGCAACAAGCGGTTCCCGATCCGGACCGGCCTCGCCGCCGTCGTGCTCTTCACGATTGGCTCGGTACGACGCCCAAGGTGATCGTGGCCCACCTAAGAGCGCTAGGTCCTTCTCTACGTGAGCACGCTCTTTGGCCTCGACGGCGAGCGCCGGGGCATGTCGTTTTTTGTGCTCGGCCTCATCAGTACCACGCCCTTCCTCGTCTCTTCACGCTAACATGCTTGCCTAGCATTCATTCCGGGAAGCTACGCGACCACGCAACTCTACGGCGCGTACAAGGGCTGGCCCGGCTACGACTACGCCCAGCTCCCGTCCTACGACGACTAGCCGCCTCCGGTTCAACGTCGTCGATCTGCAGCGTTGCCGCCCGTCGCCACGCACTGTAGCAGCATAACACGCAGCAATATACTCGACACATGCATCCACGCTACGTCCCGAGCTACATGCTGCGAGAGCTGGAGGCTGCAATCTGCGTTGCAAGCGAGAGGCATCCTCTGTCGAGCCTTGTCCTCTTGCAGGACGCTAAGGCTAAGATACGGCTCGACCCGCCAACAGCAGAGAGACTCGGGCTGGCGACGCGGCCTGTCGTCAAGCACGGCTCGCGGCCAGCTTGCACGAAACCGAGTGTTATATTTTCGCTCGACCTATATTTGGGCGACGATGATGATGTCGGGGGACGCTTCCAAGCTGCCGAGCCTCCCGTCGTCGCGCGACTCGTCGGGCTTGTCAGGGCGCAGCAGTCGGTCCACGGACAGCATGCCACTCTCACCACGCTGCTGCAACAACGAGGTCGAGAGCGACGACGAGGCCGACACGCCACTCGGCAACAACGGTGAACTCTACACCGAGATCGAGACCTTCCTCAACAAGCCTTCGCCGAGGCAAGCCGAGTATACGCTGTGCATGCAGGAGGCTCACGATGACTGCTAGTCTGGCGGCCATTGCGCGCGGGTCGCGCTCGAACGAGAACCTCCTCCCGACGCTCAAGCTCGAGCGCTCCAAGCTGCGCACGGAGAAGCCCGAGGCCAAGCGCGTCGAGTCGAAAGCAGCCGCTTCCAAGAAAGCCCAAATCGACCTCAACATGGTGCAGCAGGCCTTTGCCTACGCCAAGAACCTCCAGGTAGACAACATGCTGCCTCGACGGCCTGCACGGACATGCAATAGACCCAGCAGCTCCTGGACGGCGGCGAGGACGGTGACGACCAGCTCCTGAGCGTCATCCAGCAGCAACTCGCTAAGGCCAATATGAGCAAGGCCAACAACACGCTGCGCAGCTCCAAGTCGGCCGAGAAAACGACCAAGGCGCCCAAGAAAAAGCCCATCAAGGCCAAGTCGGCAAGCGCCATCTACAGTACGACGCGACCGCATCCACGGGCCTCATCGTCTCTCTCTGCTAGACAACACCAAGCCGGAGCGGGTCAAGGCAACGGCTGAGTGGGACAACAACAACGGCGAGGCAAAGTCGTCGTCGTCGTCGATGGACCCGCAACTCGTGCAGCAGCTATTGAGCAACTTTGAGAATGGCACGGCGCTGCAGGAGCTGCGGCAGGAGCTCGCGGCGTCCCAAGCCAGTCTCAAGGAGTCGCGCAGTATCCTCCAGTGCGCGGCCAAGAGCTTCTTCTTAAAACATAACGACACGTCGTCCGATGCGAGATGGACACACGGCTACAGTAGACAACGACTCGACTGGATTGAGGCGACGGCTTCGCCGAGTGGCCGCGCGCTTAGTTCTTATCCAACTTCATCAACGGCTCGGACGAGTGCTCGGGCGCCGCGTCCGGGTTGTTGTAGTCAATTTCGTCGTAGATAGTCGCGGGGCGCTTGCGCGCGCGAAGCGGGTGGTTGGGCTGCATGTAGTAGCGCTCCGGCTCGTTGGCCTTGAGCCACTTGTAGTTGTCAATGCCGTAGCCGCGGCTGCGGTACGTCGTCTGGTTGTCCGTGAACGGCTTCGTGGGGCCGACATGGCTCGTGTATGGCGCGTTCGAGACCGTCGAGATAGGCACCTTGGACCAGTTCTCCGGCTACAACAAACAAAAACAACGTCCATGAGCCACGCGAGTTGCCGTTGCATGCAACGACGTACGTTCTGGCCCGCCTCGCCGGGCTTGGCGTCCGAGAGCGAGTGCATCCAGATGTGCCACTCGGGCGGGATCTGGTCGCCGCCAAACTCGTCGTGCGTCTTGACCTTGTACTCGGTCCAGCGCTGCTGGCCATGGAGCTCGGTCGTGTCCTCGTAGTACTTGTTGCCAAACTGGTCTTCGCCGACCTCCTTGCCAAACTTGATGTCACCGGGGTTGTAGAGCTTCCACAAGCACTCCTTCCAGCCGTAGCGCTTGTTCGCCTCGAGGTACTTGTGCACGACCGAGTAGAACGACCGCTTCTGCATGCTCCCGGCTCGGATCATCTTGACGTCCACTCAAATGCTACAGTCACTTGGCCGCCGAACAATTCAGGACCTCTTACAATCCATATTGTATCCATTCTGAGAGGCTAACCTTCACCAACTTCCAAGACATCGCTTGCAAGGACGCGAAGGACTGCATGGCAACCACCGACGTCCGCATCTTCAGCGTCCGGATCGCCATCTAAAAGTCTACGTCGCGATACGAGGACATCGCTCGCAGCTTGGATGCGACGGTGTCTGCGACGACGGCGGAATCGAAGCGAAGTTTCGTCCGAGGACAGAGATATGTGCGCCGAAGGTTACGCCAATATAACGCCCACGACGGTTCAAGCCGTAGGAAGTATCGGTGCTTGGTGGGTACGAAGCTTAGCTGGACGTACATGGAGCGTCGCGCTGTGCTAGTGAGGTGGGAAGTTGCTGCTGCGATGCTTCGCGACGGTTCCGGTAGGCGGAATCAGGTCGATCCGAATTCGGATCGGATGTGCGCGCACGTCCGGTAGGCGTAATCAGGCACGGTATCCTAATTGGGATCTTCCGCAAGCGCACAGGTTTTTATATTGCATACAATTTGTACGTCATAAAATAATGGGTGCGCGATGCACAAAAACACGTGCCCGGGCCTCTCCCAGCCGGTCCTGAAACTGCATAAAGTATCGAAAATGAGAGGTTCGTGGCCCAGCACTGGTCGTGTCAACAAGCGAAATCGCCACCGATAGCGAAGCAGGATGGCGACGTGCGCCGACCCGATGGCCTGCTGCGACCTGGACAAGGATGGCCTCACGGGCCTCGGCTGCGGCGTCAAGACGGCCTTTGTCGCAGCGGCGCAGCTCCCGACGTCGACCAGCGACTGGCGCATGCACGCGTTCCGCTCGACGGGCTGCCGCCGCATGTACGAGCCGATCGCGCTCGTGTACGGCCCGGTCACGGACAACATGCACATCCGCGTCCACGACCAGTGCATGACGTCCGAGGTCTTTGGCAGCCTCCGTTGCGACTGCAAAGAACAGCTCGAGACGGCTAAGGCGTTCATGGTCAGCCAGGGCAGTGGCATGGTCATCTACATGCCCCAAGAAGGCCGCGGCATTGGTCTCGCCAACAAGGTGCACGCGTACAACCTCCAAGACCAAGGCGCTGACACGGTCGACGCGAACCGTGTCCTTGGGTTCGAAGACGACTACCGCAGCTACGAATCCGTTCAGCACATTCTGAACCACTTCCAGCTCTCGTCCGTGCGACTATTGACCAACAACCCGCGCAAGATCGACCTCCTCACCAAGCTTGGCATCACAGTCTCGGAGCGCGTTCCAATTGTCATCCCAGGCCAGAAGCACAACCAGGCGTACCTCGACGCCAAGGCGCAGCGCATGGACCATCTCATTCCGCAAGACTCTTCTCCGTCGGTCCCGACGCCGTCCTCTGTCCCGCTGCCCATCGTCGCAGCGGTGGCAGGGCTCGTCAGCGTCGGCCTTGCGGCCTGGGCTGCCCGTAGTAGTATTTAATCCCATCATAGAGTCTGTCTGCTCCGTGCCATCTTCGTCACCTACTAGTATATGCTATAACGCCGTCGACGTCTGCGCTGCATCGCTCGCGAGGTGTCGAGTGCGATGCCATTGGGTTAAAAAGCAACCAATGGCCTTGCGTGGCACCCACATATCGACCAATCAAACGCCAGAAGGGGCTAGCGACAGGGCATTTGTATCGTGGGCGGCAACACCATTTTAACCAATCGGCGCGCATATAGTGACTACCTTGAAGTGGGTTGGCCAGATTTCTCGAAAGTAATTTCGTCATTGGCGATGGAGCAGTACCGGAAGGTGAGCAAGATCGGCGAGGGGACGTACGGTGTCGTGTACAAGGCCGTCGACCTCCACAGCAATGCGACCGTCGCGCTCAAGAAGATCCGCCTCGAGAGCGAGGACGAGGGCGTGCCCTCGACGGCCATGCGCGAGATCTCGCTGCTCAAGGAGCTCGTGCACCCCAACGTCGTCCACCTCCACGACGTGATCCACCAAGCCGACAAGCTGTACCTCGTGCGCACCCTCTCAAGCCTCTCATCTCGTCGTCGCTCACATGCACATGCTAGGTCTTTGAGTTTCTCGACCACGATTTGAAAAAGTTCATGGACCTCCAAGGCGGCGCCATGTCGCCGCTCGTGCTCAAGTCGTACGTCTTCCAGATGCTCCGGTACGTCTTCTTCTTCGCGCATGCAATCCAGCGAACTGGCGTAGCGGTATCGCCTTTTGCCACGCCCACCGTGTGCTGCACCGCGATCTCAAGCCGCAGAACCTCCTCCTCGATGCCCACGGGACACTCAAGCTGGCCGACTTTGGCCTCGCGCGCGTTTGGGATTCCCATCCGCAACTACACACACGAAGTGGTGACGCTGTGGTACCGCGCACCCGAGATCCTCCTCGGCGCCTCGCACTACTCGACGCCCGTCGATACGTGGAGCATCGGCTGCATTTTTGCAGAGATGGTCAACCGCAAGCCGCTCTTCCCCGGTACGCCATCCATGTTGCTCACATGATGATGATTCCATGCACATGGGATCGCAGGCGACTCGGAGATTGATGAGCTCTTCCGCATCTTCCGCGTCCTCGGGACACCGGACGAAGGCATGTGGCCGGGCGTGAGCTCGCTGCCCGACTACAAGGTGTCGTTCCCACAGTGGCAGCCCCAGCCCTGGTCCGCGATCGTGCCGGCGCTCGACCCGATTGGCATCGACCTCCTCTCGGTAGCCAAGCTGTGTGCTCGAGGATACTCATATGTCCATGTCCATGTAGCGCATGCTCGTGTACGAGCCGCGGCAGCGCATCTCGGCCAAGCAGGCCATGAGCCACCCATGGTTCAACGACCTGCCGCGACAGCCCGCGACGCCGTACTACTAGCCGTCCTCGCCTTTCTTGTGGAATTTCGACCAATCGAGCAATAGAACGTTGGTTGTGTATTTTTATCCATTGCTCCAGCAAATCTTCAAACGCCACTTGGAGATATTCGCGATGGGCCAAGCGTGCTGCAGCCGACGACGGTCCTTCTTCTACGGCGCCGACCACGACGACGACGCGGACCTAAACGAGGGATGGAAGAAGTGGAGCTCGCTCAACCACAAGGCCACGATGGCGAGGCCGGCCCACTCGTACACGCCGCCATCCTACGAGAGCGTGCGCTCCGCCAGCCCTACCGAGCCTGCGCCCGACGCCACGACACAGAGTGCGCCGTGCTCGTAGCCGTGTATCTCCTCAATAGTATATAACACAGACTCTCTAGACCGATTGCACTTGGCACCCACGACGCCGAGCGTGCGTGGGGTAGCACTTGGCCCTTGGGATCGCAGCATCGCCGCCAAGTCTCTAGCTAGCATTGCATCGCGTCTATTGCTGCGAGACACTGCGAGTCCACGCCTACCCGACGCGGTCATGAAAGGGCAAGCCGATGATGACATGGCTTCGGCATACCACCAAGCGCCATTTGGGTGTATCTAGCCGATAGATCGCAGTAGAATCTTTTTAGCCAATCCGAGCGACGAACGTGAGAATCGAATCGCATTTCTTCGAATCGCAGCGCGGTTTGACTTTCTTTTCATCCAATCACGAACGCTTCTATTTTTAGAGCGCAATGTGTTTCATCGGCAGAGCGGATTTCGGGCGCAACGACGGACCGCGCGACGCATGATGGCCGACGCCCATGAGCTCCTCGAGATGGAGACCTTCGACGCCATCGAGGACAAGGACAGCTCCAAAGGTACAGGCCATGACCGTACATACACTCCATAAGTGGCTAGATGTGGAGATGCTGGACCCCGTCTTGATGGCCGACTCGGAGACGTTGTGCCAGACCATTAGCCAGATATGCGCGCTCGAAGAGCAACAACAGCCTCACGGGAAGTGTGGCGACGCCATCTCGTTTCTGGACGAATGGATGGAAGACGAGATCCGGCCGCCGGAAACCTTGGTCATCAAGGTCGAAGTGACGCCCGACACGGACAGCCGACGCAGCAGTACCAACAGCGCTGTCGAGCAAGCGCTCTACTGCGACGACGATGACGGCAACGAGATGATGATGGACGACAAGTGGGTCTCAGTGAAAGAGGAGCCGCTGCCCGTGCCCGTCGAGATCAACAACCCGACGCTGCTGCCATCGCCGCAGCCCGAGATTGATGACTCGGACTTGCCGGCGATGCTCGACATGTTTAGCGCTCTCTACTCGGACGCCACCGCACCAGTCGCCATCGACGAGCCCAAGCCGACACTGAGTATCCACATTCCGGGCCCGGCAGCGATGCCACCGGCCGTGACATACCAAGGCAGCCGCATTCTAGCGCCGCAGAGCACGCCAAACGTGCCATTGCCGTCGTACTTCAACACACCGTGCTGCGACAAGTCCAAGCCGCCGCCTGGCTACAGCAACTACAACTCGGGTGTGTCGCCGTATCCCATGCACGCCGTCATATCCCCGACATACCCAGGTAGTACTATCAACGAGCCAGCTAGCATGGAGCTCCCAATTGAAGCTGTAGGAACGCTGGCCGCACGCACGATTGTTCGATCGAGGACACCGAAAGCGCTGCCTCGCATGTCCATGTCGCCCGACGTGGCCGAGCAAAAACTCAACCGCATCTTCTTTCAGTACTCGGATCCGCTCACCAAGACGATGCTGCTCGCCCAGCTCTTGTATAGTACAATGGATACATCCGATCAATAATGCCCTTCATAATGGCACTAGAGTGCTCTTGAAGCGACACCGTATCAAGGAAGACGCGCCGCTAAATCTGCTCACGCTCTTCCCACCCAACGACATCAACGCGCAGCCCTTTCCGTACTCGCTCTTTGGTGCTGGCAGCCAGCAGCCCCTCACGTACGCTCTTGTGTTTTCCACGTCGCCGCCACGTTCGTGTAGGTTGGAGGGCTTTCAGAACGCCTTCCAGATCTGCAATCGGTGTACCGAGATCAAGCGCAAGCAGCATAGCACCAACGACGCGCGGGTACTTCGAACACTACGGCGGCAATGAGACGGAAGCGCCTATGTAGGAGCTGCAAGAAGACGTGGCGCCAGTCATTGTCCGCGTCGTTCCGAGCATCTACGAAGGACCCAAGATCAAGAGCTGCGACCATTTTCAGTGGACGTGGTGCGAAGGGTTCGAGAAAACCAAAACGAAAAGTGCAACGGAACCAACCGCCACGACAAGTGCCCCAAGTACCTCGCCAACTGCACGCTGTGGAAGCACCGGCTACCGCCCAAGAACCGAAAGGCGTCCAAAGACAACGACACGCAGTGCTGCGACACGATGGACTCGCCCGCCAAGAAACTTAAGTTCTTCACCTAGTCCATTGTTTGTTCTGGTTTACTGACCTCTTTTGACAATGAGTTTACCCCACGATCCTGGGCACAACGACGTGTGTACCAACGCTGGTGGTCCTGCACGATACCCTCTTGCGCTGTATACGAGGCAGCGATGTAGTCGGGACGTGAGTCCGGGATGGCTCGAGTCGGGGCGGTGTCGGGGCCGGAGGAACAGCGTAAGAGCGTGTCGCTGCCCATATGCGTCCCGTCCCGTCGTGGTACTCGTGACGCGCGTCAAAATGCCCTTCTGTCTCAGTGACGTGGCGCGCTGAGGCGTCTCGATCGCTTCCGCGGCCGTGCGCCCATCGCCAGCCTTTCCAGACAATGTGCAGACTGCTCGTACGCCCACACGCGACGTGCTAAGGGTCGCTTTGTGCCCATGGCGCCGTGCGACAGTGTAGAAAGGCTTCAGTTTCACGTGCGATCTGTTTCGGGTTCATACAAACTTCAAGTGCCCTCTCTATGATCTCCCACAAATCTTTTTTGACCTTTCGCGAGACGAGCATGGGCGCGCGGTGCTGCTGCTGCGCCAAGAACCAAGTGGACGCGAGCGACCTGAAGGAGAAGCTCCTCGAGAAGGATGCGCGCGCGACGTTCGACTCGAACGACGACCGAAAGGCCGCAGCGCTTCCGTCGCCGTCGTCGATCTCGGGCTCGAGCTACACGAGCAAGAACGAGCGCCTCCTCGTGACCCAAGCCCAGACGTACCGCGACGATGACGACGACCCGTTCGGCTCGGCGAGAGACTTTGTCGACGAGCGCGAGCTCTCGCGCAGCAGTAGCAGCCGCGACTACGACGACCAGCGCGCGTATGGCTCGGTGAGCAGCTTGAACGGGACGACGCCACGCAGCGCCGAGCGATCGCCGGGCCGCGACTCGTACGCTGACAGCAGTGACCGCAGCGCGTACTCGTCGCAGGTGTTTGACGCGCCGCCGACGCAAAGCGGCTGGAACATCTAGACTTCAAATCTCATAACCATCAAGAGTTTCCGTGTGCTTTCTTATGAACGTGTCTACATCAAATAATACTACTGGTACTGTAAGCGTCGCGGTCTCAGAGCTCCCACGCGGCCTCGGCTGGCACCTGGCCCACATAGCGCGGCGGCGTGTACGATTGATCTTCCGCAAGCATCGCCGCCGTGTACCCGCTGACGTGGTGCTTCTTCCAGCTGTCATCTTCGACTTGGGGCAGCAGGATGCCCTTCGCGTCGTACGGCGTCGCCAGCGCGTCCGTCCTCGGGCCGCAGCTGCAGCAGCCCATGGTCTGCCCCATGGATGGTGGTTGATGCGGTATTCTGACCTTTCTGGCTCGGCTGCAATCTTCCGGATACGTATCCGGAATGCAAGGGCCCACGATTGGTGCATAATGTTTGGATTTCAACCAATCCAGACACGGCAGCTTCATTTGCCAAGATGAGCGACGATGGCAACAGGCAGACGCGCCTGCTGGAGGCCGACGACGAGGAGGAGGTCGAGGTCCCCGGCCGGTCATCTTCCAGTGCAAGACGTGTCGGTCCATCATCGGCGACTCGATGAGCTTCGTGCAGAGCAACGTGGACACGCGGACCGTCACGCTGGCCTTCGTGCTCCACACGCACCGCAGCAAGACGCCGCTGACCGCCAGCGCTGGCTTTGACAAGGGAAACACGTACTACGAGGTGCTCTGCTCACAATGTCAGACGATCCTCGGCAAGTCGTACATTGCGACGACGCCCGAGCTCGACGAGCTACGAAACCTCTTTACGCTCGACACGGACGCGCTCTCGAGCTACCAGGTCGGGACGCAGCAGCCGATGAACGACTGGGCGCTTGACGGCGCGACCAAGGTCCTCGAGTACGAGAAGAACGTACAGATGATCGAGCAGCTCCACGGCGACATGGGCAAGGTGCAGAATCTCCTCTTGGTCATTGACGAGCGCCTCTGTGACACGGAGCGCCAGCTCGAAACGTTCAAGCGAGGTAGGCCGCGGTCGCATGCGGATCATCGTTGCTGACGCCTTTGACACTAGGCGCCAAGCGGCCACCGACCAACGGCGATAGCGCAGTAAGCGGCGGGGGCAGCAATCGGAGCAGCCCGGGCGTGACGACGCCGGCCAAGCGCGCCAAGTAGGATGCAGCAAAGTGCGTACACGCTGTTCAGTAAGTGTGTCTACCTTATTCCATTCATACAAATCTACTCTTCTTGCTTCTTGGCGAGGTGGGCGGTACCCGGCTTGGCGCGGCGAAGCTCACCCGGGCGGTCAATGTACTCGATGACGGCCATCTCGGCGTTGTCGCCGTACCGGAAGTCGGCCTTGACGATGCGCGTGTAGCCACCGGCGCGGTCCATGTAGCGCGGGCCGAGCGTGTCGAAGAGCTTGTCGAACTCGGTCTTGGTGCGGACGATGCCCTGCGCCTGGCGGCGGGCGCAAATGTCGTTCTGCTTGGCGAGCGTCACGACCTGCTCCGCGACGCGGCGCAGCTCCTTGGCCTTGGGCAGCGTCGTGCGGATGCGCTCGTGCTCGATGAGCGACGTCACCTGGTTGCGGAGCATGGCCCAGCGGTGCTCGCCATCACGGCCCAAGCGGCGCATCGCGATACGGTGGCGCATCTTCCTCGTCGACTTTGGTTGTGGCAATTTTAATGGTGGGGATCGCAACGTCCGGATAACGAGGGTATCCGGTATTTCGTGCTACACTATTTGAAGGGATGTCGCAAGATAGTGTGACGAACCCGCGTGGCGGTGCACCAAGGCCTCGTCCCTATACTGTCGCCAGGCGTGCGGTTGCTAGCTCCATCCTTGACTCTAGGGCGCAGCTCATCACCCAGCCGAAGACGGACACTCTCCTTCTCCTAGGACTGCGGCACCGCCAACCAGGATTTTTACACTGTCGAAACACTGTCTTCCATGGGAAACCGCCGACGAGAAAGGCCGGTTTTGGAAGCGGTGCTGCATGACCTCGCATGCTCGTGCAGCCGAAGCCGTTGGTCGCGCGTGGCGCAGCGCCGCCAGCCACAGCTCGGCCAAAGAAGGCGCGATCAAGCCTGCCGAGTCTTTCATCGCGCAAGCCAGCAAACCAGAAGAAGAAGACGACGGCCCAAGCGCCATTGTCGCCGACACCGTTGCCCGAAACGGTGCGCGAGATGGCGACGCGGCTCCTCGCTGCACCAGCACAAGGCGGTGACAGCTGCGGCAGCGCTAAGGTGCGCTTCAACCACTACAACAAGCCGTTTCCGATCCACAACGGCGTGTTGCAGTGGAAGGACGTCGATGACGCCTACTGCTTCTCGTTCGTGTACCGCGGTGCGTACATGCGCGAAGTGCAGACGCTCTTCACCAAGGTCGTCATGCGCCGCGATGCGATCGGCGATGTCTTTGTCGGTCTCGTCTGCACCGAGCAGTACGAAGTCGTCGTCGAGGAAGACCCGGTCGCCGGCGTCGGTGCACCAGGGCTGCGCATCAGCGCCACACCGTTCGTGGCGTCGTCGCACGAACTGCCAGTCCGCAGTGGCAACCGCGCAACAAAGCTGCTCACAGACGAGCTGCGCCAGATGGCGCCCGCCGAGCTCGGCTCGGAGAAGGCGCGGGATCTCCTGCAGCGGCGTGACCTCGAAGACGTCTTGTTTGCTTGAGCTAACGGGTCGCAGGGTCAACCACAAACAACGACGAGTTAGTGCTGTGTGTGCTAGTACAGACGAGCTGCTATCGTTGCTGACTCGGTTTGCTCACAAGGCCAGGCGAGGCCCGCGGTCGACGAGCCTGTGCAAAGTGGTGTGACACGCTCGGTCGGTCCGCCACCTTCGAACTTCGAATGCAATGGCGCTCTGAGTTGCGTGCTGGCCGTCGCAGCTCATGGCAGACGTCCACGCCAGACCATCGTCGCGCACGAGTCGCTATCGGCTGCTGCTCGCTGCGCCGTCAATTGCGCTCGAGGCTGAGCGAGCTGCGGGCGGTCTTGTAGGATGTACGTGTCAGCGTAGAAGGCGAGTGTATGACCACCTTAGCAGCTGACGTAGCCACGAGGTGGAGGACGTTGCGAGGTTGTACATCATATTACCAGGTAGGAGAGGAGGCGTACGGTCTGGACTGCGCTTGGGTCGGTCTGAAGTGCGCTTGGGTTTAAGAAGGGGCGGTTCAAGGATCGAAGTTCGAAGTTACTCGCCAACATCTATGTTTCTTGTAATAATTCTTCTGCGAGCGATGACCCAGTGGCTAGAGAGCGCAGACTACGTCGCCCGGTTCCGGTCCCTCGACGAGCGCAAGGTCGATGGCGGCGCCGTGGCCTTCCCGGCGCCGATGCCAGAGACGGTCACGGCGCGGCTCGCGTCGCTGGGTCTGACGTGGGACGTGCTACCAACGCTCGTGCGCCACGCGCTGCTCTGGGACATGGGTCTCGTCGTCGGCAACGTTAGCGGCACCGACGCCTACTTGCAGGTGTACACCAAGTGCGGCATGGGCATGGCCAACATCAGCCTCACGTTTGACGAGTTTACGGCGGCGAACCCGTCGTCGCAGACCGTGCGATCGTGCCCCGCCCTCGTCAACGGCGCCACCGTCTCGCTACTGCGGCAAGAAGCCGCAACAGGCACGTTTCTCGACGACGTCATCAAGTGCGCGATGGACCTCCAGAACCTCCCGGACGGCTTCTCGAGCCTCCTCGCGCAAGACGGCCTTGGCCCGAGCGACGTGCCGCAGCCGCGTGTGTGGCGGCACCAAGACAAGACCGCCGGCTGGACCAAGCTCGCGATCCATACACTACCCTCCAACATGTACCCCGAAGCCGCGTGGAGCACGTGTCCGAGTCGGCCTGGTGCGCGCATCATCCCATGCGAGCCCCGCAACAACCGCCCGGAGAGCCCCAACACGTGTCTGCCGACGCCGTCGGCCGCCATGACATCGTGGCTCACAGCTGTCAAGGCGTCGCTGCCCGCCAAGGACACTACCGGTCTGTCGACGACCAACGTTGTGTTGATCGCGACCATCAGCAGCGTCCTGCTCCTCGCGCTACTTGGCTGCTGCTGCCTGTGGCGACGACGACGACGACACGCTCCGTCGCCGCCAGCATCGCCCAAGTACGAGCCGCCGGCCATGGACGGAAGCACCGATCCGTCGCGCTACATGGAGGCCACGACGCCGCCGTCGCCCGCCCAGCAACCGCCGTCGTTTGCGCGGTCGGAGTCGTCCGTCGACGTGGCGCTCCGGGAGCTGTACCGCGACCCGTCCATCGCATCCAAGCAGCTCGTGTTCAAGGAGCTCGATTGGATCCGCATCCTTGCGGCCGGCGCCTTTGGGGAGGTCTACCTCGGGCAGTACCGCCAGAAGCGCATTGCGATCAAGCGCATCCAGTCGATCCGGATCGAGGTCGATGGCGTCGTCGAGGCGTTCGCTGAGGAGATTCGGCTCATGGCGCACTTCCGACACCCCAACATCGTCGCGTTTCTAGGGTTTGCGTGGGACCTCGAGACGCCCTCGACGCTCTGCGCCGTGACCGAGTTCCTTCATGAGGGCGACCTGAAGGCGTACTTGGTTGCGCACCCGGTGCTGCCGTGGTCGACCAAGATGGTGTTTGCGCTCGACGTTGCGCGCGCGCTGCAGTACCTCCACGAGCTCCTCGAGCCCACGATCATCCACCGGGATCTCAAGAGCAAGAACATCCTCCTCTCGCTGCCGCACGCCAAGCTCTCGGACTTTGGCATCTCGCGCGAGCAGATAAACGATGACACGCTGACAGCCGGCGTCGGCACGGCCTTCTACTCGGCGCCCGAAGTCATGAAGGGCCTCAAGTACACGAAGCAAGCCGACATTTACTCGTTCGGGTGCGTCCTCGCCGAGATGGACACGCACAAAAGCTTGTACCACGAGTGGAAGTTTCCCGCGATCGCGATCTTGAACAAGGTCATGCACGAGCACCTCCGCCCGGCCATGACCCCGACGTGCCCCAGGGCCATTTTGCAGCTGGCGCAGCAGTGCTTCGACGCCGACCCGAGTCAGCGCCCGACCGCGTCCGACATCGCGCGGGACCTCGCCGACCTTGTCGGCAAAGGCCGCATTGAGCGCCACGCGTGGAAGTCGTCCGAGTCGTCCTAGAACCCGCCATAAATATATACCGTATTTATTCCCATATTACTTTGTCTTTGACGGAACCCTACCCCCAATGCACAGAAAACGCTCGAGCGGATATCGCCTTTTTACTCCGTCCTCGGAGAGTACGAGGTGCGATGCGACGGGCCAAATGT